AATACGAAAAAACTGAGCCACATCCCTAGCCCTATTTTGTATTTTATTTAGTGACAGGGTCTCAGTGAGCTTAGCATCTCACTTTTGCTGAGGCTGGCTTTGAACCTGTAATCCTCCTGTCTCAGCCTCCCTCGCTGCTGGGATAACAGGAGTGTGCCATTGTACCCTGCTAAGGGAGAAAGTTTTTTGTTTGTTTGTTTGTTTGTTTGTGGTGTTGGTGATCAAACTAAGTACCTTGCTGCATGGTAAGCAAGTGTTCTGCCACTGAGCTACATCCCCCAGTCCTTTTCATTTTTTATTTTAAGACAGGGTCTCACTAAATTGCCCAGGCTGGCTTCAAACTTGCAATCATTCTGCCTATGCCTCCTGGAAAGCTGGGATTACAGGCATGTGCCACCATGCCAAGCTACAGAAATGATTTTATTAAGATATAACTCAACATGCAGTAAAATAAATTCTTTTAGTATACASTTCTGTGAATTTGACAAATACATGGTCATATAATTACCAGCACAAAACACAGTTCTTTTTATTTCCCAAAAATCTCCTGWGTCCCTCCCCCTCTCTTTATAGTTTTGCCTTTTCCAGTGTTCTATAAACAGAATCACACATAGTGTATGTAGCCTTTTGAATTTGGTCACTTTTACTTAGCATATAAATTTGAGAATCATCTGTTATTGTGTGTATTATTACTGTTCTTTCTTTTTGRATGGTGCTGAGGATTGGACCTAGGGCTCAACCCTTGCTAGGCAAGCACTCTACCACTGAGCTATGCTCCCAGCCCTATTACTGTTCCTTTTTATGGGAATAGTAATGAGTACTAATCTATTTTATGGAGGTAGCACTGTTTATCAATATACCACTTAAAGGATATTTCCAATTTGGGCAATTAAGACTTAAGCTATGGAGCTGGGGCTATGGCTCAACGGTAGAGCACTCACCTAGCATGTGCAAGGCCCTGGGTTCGAWCCTCAGCACCATGTAAAAATAAATAAAATAAAGGTATTGTGTCCAACTACAACTGAAAAATAAATATTAACAACAACAACAAMAAAAAGAGCTAAGCTACTACAAATGTTTGCATATTGGTTTTTGTGAATGTTGGTTTTTATTTCACTTGAATACCCACGTGGGATTACCAGGTCAAATGATAAGTGTATGTACAACTTTATATTTAAAAATATGCAAGTAGTGGGCACAGTGGCACCTGCCAATAATTCTAGCTACTTAGGAGGCTTAGGCAAGAGCAYYGCAGTCTGGGCAACACAGAGAGATAGTGTCTCAAAATAAAAAATAAAAAGCTTGGGGGTGGGGGATATAGCTCAGCTGTCAGAGTGCTTGTCTTACATGYACAAGGCCCTGGGTTCAATACCCAGCACCACAAAGATAAATATATAAAAGATGTATGCTATCAGGCAGCTACAATAAAGACTTAAAAAAAAAAGCTTGGGGTGTAGATCAGTAGTGAAGTGCTGTCTAGCATGGTTTGAACCCAGGAACACTCAACCAGTGAGCCACATCTCCAGCCACTTTTTATTTATTTTATTTAGAGACAGGGTCTTGCTGAGTTGCTTAGGCCCTTGCTAATTTGCTCAGGCTGTGAAGCCCTGGGTTTGGTCCCCAAAACCATAATAAAGAGGTAAAACATATTTAATATAAGAAAATGACAAAATAGAAAAGACAAAAAGAAAAGAAAAATGAGTCATTATATATCCCAGAAATAACAGGTGTTTTTGTTACACATTTACTCTAAATTTTTCTATGCATGTACATAAACTATTTTATATATTAATATAGTTATTACTGTGAAATAGCCTTTTTCATTAAATTGTATAACATGAGAATCTTTATGACATGTCGATACACATCTGTTACTTCTACATTCCATGCTATAGATGTGCCAAAATTTACCTGAGCCACGTGTTGGGCATGTAGGCCTTTTCTGTGGTAAATATTCTTATAGCTAAACTTTTGTGTTCATCTTCTGTTTCTTTGGGATAAACTCAGGTAGAACTGCAGAGTCAAAGGCAATCCAAATTTTACAGACTACTGACACACATTGCCAAAGTGTCCACGTATTTACACTTTCTGTGAGAGGCAACAGGAGCCCAGTACCGCCTTCACCTATATTGCTATCATCAGACACACACATGCTTAKATATAAACTTTGCTAACATGGAGGGTCCAAAATGTTTCAGTATTTGTAAACATAAGCATATAAAGTGAAAGGTTTTCCTTTGTAARTGAATTCCAGATGTAACAACTGTTAAACTAATGGGGATTTAATTGTTGATTTTTTTGACCTTTTTTTGGCTTGATGGTTTGTTTTTAGACTGTCAAGAAAATTATTTACTTCTTGTTTTTACCTTCAGTGAAATGTTTTACAAAATCCTTTCTCATTTAATTTAAAATAATTCTTTCTAGTAAATCATAAAAGCAGAAGAAATATTTTGGTGAATTTTGATATACCCATCACACAGCTTCAAATTATCAACTTATATCTAATCTTATTTTATTTATACTCTTACCAACTTCCTGCTCCAATGTGTGTGTATGTGTGGGTTATGCTGGGATCAAATCTAGGKCCCCATGCATAAGTGAGGGCTCTACTATTAAACTACACCCTTAGCCTACCCCTTCCAATTATTTTGAAGGAAATCTCRGGCCTATCACTTTGGATATATCTAAAAGATAGGAACTCTTTATTTAGAAGATTTACTCATAGAAATATTTAATCCATTGGCAGTTTATTTTGGTGCTTAGTGTTAGTCCAGAGATCTAATTTTATTCTCTTTTCAAACAATTAACTAGTTGTCCAGTACCATATTGAATAATTCATCCTTTGGTCCATTGGTTAGAAATCCTATCTTAATCATATATTAAAATCTCATATGCTTAAATCTATTTCTGAAKTGTCTGTCCTATTGGTATTTTCCCTGTTTCCTACATCACATTTATTTTGTTTTTTGGAAGTACTGGAAATTGAACCCAGGGGTACTCTATCACCAAGCCACATCCTTACCCCCCTCTCCCCACTTTTTATGCCAAGGTTTGAACCCAGGAACACTCAACCACTGAGCCACATCTCCAGCTACTTTTTATATTTTATTTAGAGGCAGGGTCTTGCTGAGTTGCTTAGGGCTTTGCTAATTTGTTCAGGCTGGCTTTGAACTTGTGGTCCTCCTGTCTCAGCCTCCCAAGCTGCTAGGATTACAAGCATGTGCCACCATCTCTGGCCCTTAACCCTTTAAAAAWWTTTTTTGAGACAGAGTCTCTGTTAGCTGCTGAGGCTGGCCTCAAACTTGCAATCCTCCTATCTCAACTCCAGAGTCACTGGGATTACTGGCATGTGCCAGGGCACCCAGCAGGCTTTTAATTTATATTTCATGTCACATGAAAGTAGAATTAAATTTTTTTATTAATCTAACATAAGAAAAAAAAACTAGTGAAAGATTAATAATATTTACTAAATTAAATAAACATGCTTATAATAAAAATATTTACTTTCTTCCAGAGATCCTTTACAGTGGAGAGCTGTGATGGGAACCAATACAGTAAATATGAGTCAAGCATACACCAAGAGGATAAAAGTTAAAGCAATCAGTATTCATCCAGACTTCATTATGGAAACTTACGAAAATGATATTGCACTTTTTTATTTAAAAAAACCTGTGATGTTTAATGACTATATACAGCCTATTTGTCTACCTTTTGATGTTTTCCAAAACCTGGACGAAAACACAAAGTGTTTTATAAGTGGCTGGGGAAGAACAAAAGAAGAAGGTAATTATAGTCTGAATTTTACTGATATAAATCTTTCTGATTACTGGTACAGGAGGGTCAATACTTTTATATATAAATATCCTTTTGTAAATTTCTTTTTAAAAGTTTTATTTTTTTTTTTTTTGCAGTACTGAGGATTGAATCCAGGACTTTGTGCATTCTTAGCAAGCACTCTACCACTTTGCTACATTCCCAACCACATTCTATGTATTTTTTAAAAATTTCTCTATATTACCTCTTTATTATGAGACTAAATAAATAATAGATCTTTATAAACCAGAGTAAAGGAACTATTTTTTTGTCCATATTTTCTTCCACATGGRAGGGAGAGAGAAAATTCTCTTCCAAAGCAGAAGAGACTTTCTTTGGTTACACATGCCAAGATATTGCAGTCCTCCTGTCTCAACCTCCAGAGTCACTGGGATTACCGGCATGTGTCAGGGTACCCAGATAGAATGGTAGTTACAAATGCTTTTGTAGTCTAAGACTCACAGATTATTAAGMTGATTCTGTGGCAGAATTGCCTACCTATAATAAGCTTTTTATAAGGAATCTAATTTAGTTTCCTTTTCATTTAATACCCTATTTAATACCAGGCAGTTTCATTGTCGTGTAATTTCTTTAGTATACACATAAGCACTAAATGTTGATCAACTGAATTAATGGGAGGAATSAAAAAACAAAACAAAACAAAACCAGAAAACATAGTCTGTGTCTTTGGTAATAGCAACAACTACTTTTTGGGAGCATTTCCTTGTTTCAGGCCCTGTTTTAAGTGTGACTTTATTATATTTTATCCTCCCAATAGTCCTATTGGAACTCAAAGCTTATCATGTTTTTCCCATGTCACAGACCAGAAATTGAAGATCTTAGATCTTAAGAATTTGGGACTCAAATCTAGGTCTTTGTGATTCTAATGCCTGAATAATAACTACTACATTAAACTGTTTTTGAGGGAACCATAGCCCAGTTAGGAATATATGAAATCAAGTACTGAAACTATTTTTTCCTATTCTGCACAAGCCCTGTCCATTTAAATATTTGTGGATTATTCAGACAGGATAGAGAATTATTATTTTTCTTTTTTCCACATATTATTTTTCTTTTTTCCACAAATACTTTCTAAGGAAGATAAACATGGTGTAGGGAATAGAGCATGGTAGACTTAAGTATAAATTCCAGCCCTGCAATGTTTTAGCTAAAAACGACCATGGGTATTTTAGTGGGCATTCAATAAAGTTACTGAATTTTTGACAAGTAGAACAATGAAAGGAGCAATTACCATTTTTTCAGGGATAAGTATTTAATAAAATGCTAAKCGTTTTAATGCATTATCTCATTTAATTCCCCCAACAACACTATAAGAAATAGTATACCATGAATGAGTAAAATGAAGCTTAAAGAGGCTAAATTACTTACCTAGAGTTATACAGCTAACTAAGTGATGGAATCAGAATTGAAGCCCAAGTTGGCCTGCTTCAAAGCTCATGTGTTTCCACTATATTATATCATCTTTCACAATGTTATACAGTTCCATGATCTTTAAGATAAGAGCAATAATACCCATTAGACAGTTGTTTTGAGGATTAAAATTGCTCTCCAACAACGTGATAGATTACATGTATATACCAGCCTTCCCACTGAAAACTATTAAACAGGAGGAATAGATAAGTCAAAGACTGAGTGTGAAGACAGGAACTTAGGGAAGGAATGGGAGCACCAGGGTGACTTTCATCTCAAAGGATGCTTACCAAATTGGTAACAGTGAATATTGATTTTTGGTGATTTCATTGGCCTTGGTGAGGAAAACAAAGTTGCCCAAATTGGGTATGTAGAAGCTCCCATAAAGCTGGAGCCCCCTGGCTCATAACTCAACTGTAGTTCATATACCTACAGTGTACTTCAAATATAGTATAGATAGATTGAAAGTATCTTCCTACTCAGTGCTTAACCTATGCATTCTTCCTCTTAATTTTTTTTTGTAGTTGGACAGAATGCCTTTTTTGTTGTTGTTGTTTATTTTTATGTGGTGCTCTGTAATGAATCCAGTGCCTCACATGTGCTAGGTAAGTACTCCTGTTTAATATTTTTCCATGGGAAGGATGGTGTGTACATTATTCTACCATGTTTCTGGAAAGCCAGTTTAATTCTCAGTACAACTCTGTAATGAGTATTATTGCTCTCATCTTATAAAGCATGAAGCTGTATGGCACTGAAAAGTCARTGGGGAAAGATATACATGCCAACATTAATCCAAAAGAAGTTGGAATGGAAAAAAAAGAAAGAAAGAAAG